AAAAAATGAGTATTTCTTTAAACAAAGAACCTTCCCGGCATTGCCTCCCGAGGTGTGATTAATGAGGCCCGGCACCTCCTTCCTCACTCAGCGATCACTTCTCTGCAGCGCCTTCCCAGACGCAGGTTCCCTCACGGAGGCGGGAAGATTTCAGGCGATGTCTGTTCTTGTCTTTTGTCAACACAGAGAAGGATGGAGACCCCACTGGTCAGGCGAGCCCCGCGGTCCCTGTTCCTCACTTCACCGCCTGGGGAAGCCTGGTCCCCATCGATTCGCCAAGGAACAAGGAAACAACACGTCTTACCTGGATGGCGGGTCCCCCTCACGGTGGCCTTGGATCTGGCTTCAGCCGGAGAGGCAGCGCCTCGCTCACGGCTCCGCCGGCCGCTGCCTTACCCGGGAGCGCCACCCCGTGCCCCGCCAGAGGAAGTGCAAGTACCAGCGCAGCACGGGCCGAAAGCCACACTGTGGACCCGCAGCGCAGCTCCAAGAAATCCCAAGTCCATTCACAGAGGAGCTTCTCCACCAAATCATTGAAAACTGAAAGGAGAAATGAGTCTCCACGGGTATCCCCTTGAGCAGGCTGTACGGAAAATGCAACCTGGTCAGCTGCATTTCTGCTGCCAGCCCTCCTCCAGGCAAGCACTGGCCTCGAGAAGGGCAAAGGGCAGGTAGCAGCTCCGACGCAGGCGGCCACGGCGTGGGGTCACAGTTCAGAGGCCTTCTCAGCTGAACCTGAAGTTAGTCTAAGCTCGGGCCCCAGAGTGAGGACACGGGGTGAGGTCCTCCTTTACCTAAAGCTGTGCAGAGAATCCGAGGCTATGAGTGGAGGTGCGGGAAAGATGTACAGGGGATGCTCTGGTTTCACTCCTGAGATACGCGAACGTCCTCCGAACACACATGCAGATAGCTGGACTTCTAGACAGACGAAATCCAAATCCTTTCTTTCCTCCCAGCATAAGGGAACGATCCGGTAAGAGCTAGTGTTCATCGATGCTACGTGTCCAGAATGGGGCTCAGCACCCACCTCACTGTATCCTAACATCTGTCTAATGAGGCAGGGAATGTCACTGTCACACTCTGCAGACAAGGAAGCCAAGCTGTCAGCAGGTCCACATCTTGCCACAAAACCAGTAACCTGTGGTGCTGAGAGCGCACACCAATCGTCCACTGCCACCTCTGTGGCCTCCTTCTCTGGGGTTTGCCTGCCTCCTGATGGCTGCCATGCCTCTATCCCCTCACAGGGACTGGATCTTCCAGTGATCAGTACTTTTTGGCTGCGAGCAGCAGAGATTCCCTTGAGGGCTTGTTGAAAGCACTCACGTCAACGTGGCCTCAGAAGGAAGCTGAGGCCATGCAGGGCGCTGCAGTTTCTCCTCACACTTTGCATCCCTGGTCTGACTCTTCCTCAACATGTCCTGCTATCTCCACAAGGCGGCCAGCCCAGCCCTGTCCTCCTCACCTTCCAGCCCCAACTGAGCAGCCCTCCCTGCATCATCTCCAGCTGCTGCCCAGGCTGCACGGAGCAGGTGTCCAGCGCCCATCCAGTCACTGTCTAGAGGGCAGAGCAACCAGCTGGGACCGTAACAACACCTGGCCCCGCCCACATGCCCTGCAGTAATGCACTGAAGAGTGCATGGCAGCACATATGTGCCTCATGTGTCCTGCTGTGATGCACCGAGTGGCACATAGCGTTATTGTGTCAATCATGTGTCCTGATGTGATGCACTGGTTCAGACAATATCATGAAGGCAATGTTTCTTTAAAACTGTCAAATTTGAGGAAACAATCTAACAAAAGTCACTTGATGAACATTCTGTAAAGGTGACATAAATATTTCAAAAATGTCTCTGACATCGAAAGAAAAAAACAAAAAGGGAGCTAGTCCAGATTTTAAAACTAAAAGATATAGTAACTAAAAGCAGTTATGGTGCTTGGATAAAAACAAACAACAGAAGGTATAAACAACATTATTAGACACACTGGGAAAAACTTTATATGGACCATGTATTCGATAACGGTGCTGTGTTATTGTTAAATTTCCTTTGTGTGGTAACTGAAGGGGAATGATTTTGTTCTCAAAAGATAATGCTCAAGTATTTGGGGGCAAAATTTCACAATGACTAACTTCCAAAATGGTTCAGTCAAAAGAATGACATATGTGCAATTAAAAGGGGAAAATAAGTGTGACAAAATGCCAACGACAGTTGAATTGTCATGTGGGAACTCCCTGGACTATTCTAGAAACATTTCTGTAGCTTTAAAATTATTTAAAACAAATGTTGTGGGGGAAAGAGCATGCATTTAAGGTAGTAAAAATATTCAGGACACACAAAGAGGGGGTGCAAACAGGTAAAACGACAGGGTTTCTGACCTCAGAGAGCTTCCTGAAGCTGTGCACACGCCTGTCAGGAAGGCGGTGGAATGAGCAGAGCTTCGAGGGGCGGGTCATGTCTCTACTGAGTGGAGCAGAGGATGGAGTGTCTGCAAACAGTGAATTTTAAGCCATTTGTTTAGTCCACATTACAATGAATCCAAATAAGAGTTTGGAAAGCCAGTCACACTGGACTATCTTCACTTTGTTTAACGATAGACACAGGTAGGGATGGGGAACAGACGTCCCAAATGGATTCTCAGCCACATGCTTGGAGACCCAGAGGAGCGAGCACAGGAGATAGCAGCAAGGGCTTGGAACAGGCCAGGCTATTCCACCATTTAATTTAAAAGGGGAGGTGACTCCTGTTCACTCAGGAAAAAGTCAGGGGCAGGGCAGGTGCCAAAAGTACATTCTTCTAATATTGTTCAGAACATGTCTTCACATCTCATCAAAACAGCTTACGAAAGCAGAATATTCATCCTGTAGCTAAATTCCATGTCCATGCACTGAGGACCAGTCACAACTACCTTTACTCTCCAATATGGCCTGTCGGATGAACACCTGTGAATTTGGACCAATATTTACTGTTGCTCTTTGAAAAGAAGCATTTTCATCATTGCTTTTGATGGAAAGCAAATTTAGCTAATCTTCCATTTTTTCTTTGCTTCCAGTAATTCTGGTCTGCTCAAGGTATTCAGCCAGCCAGCAGAGATAGAAAATAAAGGTCAGGCACAGTGGCTCATACATGTAATCCCAGCACTTTGGGAAGCTAAGGTGGGTAGATCACTTGAGGTAGAAGTTCAAGACTGGTCTGACCAACATGGTGAAACGCCATCTCTACTAAAAATACAAAATTAGCTGGGTGTGATGGCACATGCCTGTAATCCCAGCTACTCGGGAGACTGAGGCACGAGAATCGCCTGAACCCGGGAGGCAGAGGTTGCAGTGAGCCAAGATCGCACCACTGCACTCTAACCTGGGCAACAAGAGCAAAACTCTGTCTCAAAAAAAAGAGAGAGAGAGAGAGAGAGAGAAAGGAAGAAAAGAAAAAGCATGGGAGCCCATGAATTGGAGACTGGAGTGAGGTATGATTGTGTCACTGCACACCAGCCTAGGTGATGAAGGGAAGGGGAGGGGGAGAGAAAGGAAAAAAGAGAGAGAAAGAGGAAGAGGAAGAAAGGAAGGAAGGAGAGGAAGAAGGAGAGGAAGGAAGGGGAAGAAAGAAGAAAAAAGGGCAAAAAGAAAAGAACAAGCATGCAGGAGAATTTGAAGTAGCTTTGCCATTGAGTTCTTGGGTTCCCCGAGTCACGCTATACCGTGGACCATCAGCCAGCAGAAATCCATTCTTGTTACACCTGTGACCCCTGCTAGCAAGATGGTCAATGTGGCGGGATCCCTCAGGAAGGTGAGAACAGAGGACATTTGCCTCTTAAAGGTTAAACTCTAAGTTACTTCAATTGTGAGCAGAGACATGTAACACTGTTTAAGGAAAAACAACAAATTGCAGCCATATACGTTGTGACTGTAACCTGAATGGACATATACTGCAACTGACCAAGGAAGTGTCCATCAGAAGCAGGATGGGCAACTGGGGAAAGAATACCAAGGGAAGGTGAGGTAGCCCAGCAGCATGACTGCCCATGCACCTGCAGGGAACAGAGCCACCGCTTAAGACAGCAGAGCCTCCCAGGGACACAAGACCCCGGCCCAGGAGCCTGAGCATCTGCTACTTCAGATGTGGTCTCTTTATTGGAACAAATCAATATAATCCCAGATCTCTGGTCTGCAGCCACTGATCTGGCAGATGATTTTTCTCTGTACCTACTGATATAGGTTGAGGTTTTGTCTCCTGCAATCTCATGTCCAGAAGCTGTTTTGTTGTCATCTGGCAGGGACAGCAGCAGCCTTGGTGGGAGTGCACCAGGGCTGTGCTACCTCTCCACTTCCTCCATGCAACCTAGAGCTCAGGGCTGCCGGCTGTCTTGCCATTCCATAGGACGCCACCGTGGCCCATCACATTAGTGATGTGGACAGGAAACAAGACACTCCACTGTTTTGGTGAAATTATGACCACTTGGGCTGGGATGTAACTCTCGTAAGAATGCACAGGGCTGCTGCTTTGAAGTTTCTGGGGCCCGTGATCTAGGAAGGTATGGATGCACTCTGTGAGGGGGAGGACAGGGTGCTGTGCCCACGTCCACCGGCACTAGAGACGGGCAGGCACTCGGAGTCTCTCTGGAGCTCTGCAAGCAACATCCACCAGACCACACACGCTACTCTGCTCACTTTCCAATTAACCTATAAACTACCAGTTCCACATGAGACCTAGAAAGAGCAAAACCTCCAGAGCAGGTCGATGTAAAAGCTGGTCTCCCCATCAGGCCACGGTGGCAATTAGATCCCATGATGCATGGCAGAGTCACAGACAGGCCCAGAGCACAGACCCCTAGGGTTCTGGGACAAAACCACACCCTCCTCTGCAGATAATTGCTCTTCTGAGAACCAGCTCTCAGCTTGTCCTCTAGACCCTGATGGACACTGAACATCTATACTTCACCATGGCACAGCTAGTGACAGCTAGCTGGAACTTGAGCAGACCACCAAAGACTGCATTTTCTGACCTGTCACGTCACCAGGTGAGTCAACTGCGGGAGCATGTCATCATTACATTCAGGCAAGATGTATATATTTAATAGGTATATAGGTGTACACACACACACAAGCATGCATGCACATGCACACACACACACACACAGGTTAGGCTTTGGCATGTTCTGGAGCACAAGATACACCAGCAAGTGGTTCCGACGCTCTTCGAGCCCACAGCTGCATGGACAGCACCCCTCACCATGCACCTATTGGCCCCACGGGGACTTCCCTAGGACCACTCACCCGAATTAAAAGTTGGATTTGATTTCTGCAAAAGATGCTGACAGCTGACACCACTTGAAGGTGAAAGTTGGCAACATTCTAACTCATTTGAGTGGCC